GGGGGTCCTGTGATTGGGGGTGGGACAAGGATTTACACTTTCCCCGTTGGAATGGGAGGCTTTGACTTTGGGGGCACCCCCCCAACCCTTCTCTGAGGTGTTCTGGCCTTGGGGTCTTCCTGAGGCTGGACGGGAACCACTGTCTTCTGTAGTTGAGGCCACAGGGGCCCAGAGAGGGCAAGCTCTGCCTCAAGGCTGACCAGCAAGATCTGGCACCAGGGGTCCTGGCCTGAGTTGGTGCTCTGCTCACCAGAGAAAGGGTTCATTGGATGTTCTGAGGACTCTGGGGTCCTCTTCCATCTTAATTAGGGGAGCAGGGCCCCAAGCCACACTCATGGGTCACCTACAACCTGCACTCATCAATGCCCACCTGGTCTCCATCCAAGGCTCAAGAGTCACAGAGACCAAAACCAGATAATCTCATCCCGAGAAAGGAAAAGGGAGAGCCACTCATCAGAGAGGCAGGAAGCCTTCTAAGCGTCTGGGGGTGAGAGTCAGAGAAGGCTGCCTGGAGGAGGAGGCCTTAGCTGAAGAGAGGTGTGAAAGATGAGCAGAAAAGATGGTCTGAGGTAGATGGTGACGGGTCTTAAGGGCAGTCTCTGCCTCTCTCTCCACCTCTGTTCTCTGTCTACAATTCTCTCTCTGTTTCACTTTCTCTGTCTCTCTCTCCTGTATCGGTTGCCAGGGGAATCAAGGGCATGGCGGAACCCTCCGACTTGCTTGAGCTAATTACTTGACTGTGGGCGTTGAAAGGAGGATTAGCTGGGTTCTCATGAGGTCCTTCCTGGCTCCCTAATCCTGTGGCCCCTGTTCCCAGCGCGGAAGCGATGAACTTGCCCTGAGTCCCTAATTAGCTAATTATGCCCTGCTCTGTGGCCCTGGGACTCCGTGGGCCCCAGGGGGGCTGTGAAGTGAGCTGGGTCTCATCTCAGCAGAGCGGAGGGAGGAGGGGAGGAGAGACAGAGCTGCCCTTCCGGGAAGCCGGCGGCCAGGCAGGTTCTCAGGAGCCTTTCAGAATTTCAGTGTCCTGGAGAGCTGGGAAGTGTAATTAATTGAGCAACAACAGCTGGGCCCTGGGGGACGCAGGCGGGAGCAGCCAGGCTGGGATGGTGCAGAGGTGCCTCCTCCAGGCCTCTGATCCCACCGCTTCTCAGGGCCGCTGCCTGGCCCTCCATGCTTGCCTCCTGCCTCTGTCCTGTCCTCCAAGATTGTTCCATCGGCTTTAAAGTCAGGAGCCGATCAAGGGCTCAGCCTGCTTAGAAATCCCCCAAGTAGCCGCCCAGCAGAGAGCTCCCGGATGCTCTCTCTGACTGGTCACCCCTCCGTGCCTTTGCCACCGCTCCTGTCATCCGGCAGGGCCCAGCTCGAGTCAGCCCCTCCCGCGATGTGCCTGGAGCTCCCTTACTCCCCAGGCCTCATCCCTTTCCCCAGTGCTGGGGTCCCCTGTCCCCTTGCTGGCAGACTGCAAATTCTGCAGGGGGTGAAAAATGGGATTTGGGATTTCCCACGAGCCCAGCACTGTGCCTGGTATGCAACAGTACTTGTAAGTGTTTGATGAATGAATGAATGATGGGGCACCAGAAAGGCCTGTGACGGACTGACTTAACATTTGGATGGATTGCAGGCTGATTGCACTGATTTCTCACTTCCCTCTTCTGCACACCCCCTGTTGTGGGGGCGGATGTGGAGGGATGGGGTGCTGAGCCCTCACTCACCCTGGCTTGCTCTCAGTTGAAGAGCAGGAGCCTGCAAGGGAGCCCCACTGCCTTTCCCAAGAGGAGGCTGACCTAGTTTTGTGGGGTGGGAGGATGGGGGTGAGCATTAATTATTGATTGGAAATCACTCCATACAGAGCTCGTGATGCAAATCCCAAATAATTATCCTTGTTAATAACTACCTCAGCCATCGCCCCTGGAATAAACAAAAATCTGGACAGAGCCACTCTTCTCCTTGTCATCATCCTTTCATCCTCCCCTCTCCAATATTCCACCCCCTCCCCATGATTTAGCACATTGTTCATTCACAAGCAGTCATTCAACAAATGCTGGCTGAAACTCTGCTCTGGGCCAGGACCTGCTGGGTTCTGGGAGTACTGAGGTGACTCAGAAAGACCCTGTCTCCAGGAGCATATAGCCCAGTGGAAAAAACAGGAGAGTTTTATGGATTTATAGTTATATGGATATATAGTTTATAGTTATATGGATAACTATATATCAGGGTTAGAAGATAGATGTTGATGTAAATAGTGCCTTCAAGGTTGTGCAGTAGGCAACCTGCACAGCTGTACATGACAGCCTATGCTAGGTCAGAGGTGCTAAGGTGGCCCAGAACAGATGAGTGAGAGATAGGTTTAGAAGGGGTATGGGAAGTCACAGAGAGACTTCTCTGAGAGAAGGCAGATCCTTAACTGAGCTATGGTGACTGAATAAAGGTTTGCCAGGCACAAGAGAGGTGGAAGAGTGTTCTAGAAAGAGGGAACAGCATGAGTAAAAAAAAGCATGAAGGTGTGAAATCCCATGGTATCTTTGTGCCTGTGTGCTTGCTAAGTTAATTCAGTTGTGTCCGACTCTGTGTGACCCTATGAACTGCAGGCTTCCAGGCTCCTCTGTTCATGGGATTCTCCAGGCAAGAACACTGGAGTAGATTGCCGTGTCGTCCTCCAAGGGATCTTCCTGACCCAGGGATCAAACCCGCGTCTCTTACGTCTACTGCACTGGTAGATGTGTTCTTTACCACTAGTGCCACCTGAGACCTAGGGTGCACACTGGGGGCAGAGGGAGGGAGAGAGGAAGATGAGGCTAGAGAGCGTACACAGGAATCACAGGATCTTGGGTGATGTACACTCAAGGGTGACCCGCTAGCTCTTGACATTGTTTGGAGCCACAGACGCTTATGTGGACCTTCTTCCCAGAAAAATTCATGGCGTCATACTTGCATATTTTACAGCAATTTCATAAGGTTCAATGACCTCCTATAGTCCTTCCAGAGACCTCCCCCCACCTGTCAGGGATCCACAAACCCTGGTAGCTGGTGAGAATGCCAGCAGTTTGTACACATGGTGATGACATGCCCACATTTGTGTTCTAAAGTGGCTATTATCAGAAATTGCTCCTTCTCTGCCCTGGGCTCTGCTTTCCCTGGGCTGGCTTCAACCCCAGACAGGCACTATCCCTGGGGAGCAAGATGGCCCCCGCAACTCCACGCTTCACTCCTCCCAACTTGTAAACTCTGCAGCAAGAGAGCATCTCTTTTCCTGTAGTTCCATCAGAAGTCCCATTGCCAACTCTCATTGGTCCTAGGTAGAGTCACATGCTCATCCTGGACCAATCACAGAGGTTAGGGAAACAGACTATGCTGATTGGCCAAGCCTGAGTCATATGATCTCCATGTCAGCCCACCCAAACCATGGAATTGGAATGGAAGAGTGATGCTGTGTTCAGAGGACTGGGAAATAGGGGCTGGGCAAAGCCACAAAGGTGGCCCACTTGTCTGGGACTTGCATTCCTGTGGATTCTCCAGTGACTGGGGTGGCTGGATCTTCTTGAGGAGTCAGGAGGGAGTGGGTGACATGCAGACCACTACCAAAGCCATGACAGTGGATGACATCACCCAGACTTGAGAGAGCAGGTGTTTTCACAGCTGGGGGACTGAGCCTGTGGGGGGAGAGGGCATGGAGGGTGCAGATGGGTCAGCTCAGGCAGGCGGGGCAGAAGGGAAGAATGGGGAGACATGTGAAGAGTGCTAAGTGTGTGGAGTGGTGCCAAAAGCTGAACCTGTTCTCCACTTCCTCTGTGGGGTGGGAGCCCCAGAGTTTGCTGAGACTTGGGTGCGGGCCCTGAGCTGGGGAATCTTTGTAGCCTGGTTGCTGTCTTCTTGGGCCCCTCTGCTGAGGGGTCGTATCCTCCAAGAGGGGAAGGGACTGGCTCAAGGTCCCACAGGTCCCAGAGGCCAGCAGAGTGAGGAATTGCACCCTGTTCTCTCTTCATCAGGGGCTATGTGCTTTCCACAGGCCTTCCCTACCTGCAGAGTTTTGGGATGTGAAATCTCCCAAGGAAGTGACTCAGATGTTCTGCCCCCCTCCCCATGCCTGCCCGAAGCCCCACTCAGGTCACCCCATCACGCTCCCTGGAGATGGCTATCTTCTCTCTCATTTCCCCAGTTTCTCCTCTTACTGCCTCTGGCCTGGCTCATTCATTGCCACTATTTCTAAGGAAAGGAAAAGTCCTCTTCCTCTGGCATCAGGCCAGGTCTGGGTACCTTGGCAGGCCAAGGTTCTTCTCTAGGTGGTTCTGAGAGCTCTACCTGATTCCATCATGCAATGGGGTGGGTCAGCAGGATGGTTTTGGTTGGTACTGGTGTGTCCTGTCCCAGTCAGGGGACCACTAACTGTCCAAGAAATGAAGAACACTTAGGACACACTTATTGGGGAACCAGTGCCCATCCTGGGCGGGTGCTGGGAATCGGGAGATGAGCTAACCTCAGTCCCAGACCTCCGGGTACTTGGGGGCTACAACAAGAGTGCTAACTTGGTGTCAGGACACCGGGTTTAAATCCAGACCCTGCTGCTTCCTATCTGTGTGAACTTAGGCAAGTAGCTTCATTTCTATGAAGCTTTGGTTGCCTTTTCTATAAAATAGGGATAATATTACCACCCTCATAGAGTTGTCATGGAGACTGAAGAGCTCGTATTTGAGCATTACCCCGAAGAGCAGTTGGCACATTAAAAGTGCTCCGTAAATATCTGCTTATTCACCCATGATCTAGTGGAAGTATAGCGGGATGCAGAGCCATTTTCATGGCTTCTGGGAGAAGGGGCAGGTACCAAGGAGGAGGTCTGTCTGGTGGCCACTGAGCAGGTTGAGGGCAGTGAGGAGCCCCTGCCCACTTGTCCCACATCTCCTCTCACCACCCCTTCTCTGTTCCTCTAACCCTGCTCTCTCTCTCTCCTCTCTGGGCCCTCTGCCCCTGTCTGCCAATCCCTCCACCCTCCCCTCTCCCAGGTATGCGGATCCTGGTGAACCTGCTCCTGGACACACTGCCCATGCTGGGGAATGTGCTCCTGCTCTGCTTCTTTGTCTTCTTCATCTTTGGCATCATTGGCGTGCAGCTCTGGGCTGGCCTGCTTCGAAACCGCTGCTTCCTGGAGGAGAACTTCACCATGTGAGTGCAGCTCCCCACCCCCTGCCCTGGGACCCCTGGCCAGCTTTACTTGGGGCGTTGTTCATGCAGAATGTTTCCAGGCTAGGAAGGTCTCCCCATTGAGCACCTAGTCCCCATCCTTACTCCCAGGGGAGCAGAGAGATTAAGGGATGTGCCCAGGTGAGTTGGTGGTAGGTCTCCCATGAATGGCTGGACACCAGAATGAGTGCAAAAGGCCTCTGAGCCCTGAAAACTGTTATCACAAAGCCCCAGTCCAAGATAGGCCCTTAGATGCTAATTCAGCTCCTACTGACTCTTGCTGAACACAGTTTTAACTTACTGGGTGAAAGTGAAAGTGTTAGTCGCTCCGTCGTCTCCGACTCTTTGTGACTGTATGCTCTGTAGTCCGCCAGGTCCCTCTGTCTATGGAATTTTTCAGGCAAGAATACTGGAGCAGGTTGCCATTCCCTTCTCCAGGGGATCTTCCCAACCCAGGGATGGAACCCGGGTGTCCTGCATTACAGACAGACTCTACAGTCTGAGCCACCGGGGAAACAGGAGGCAACTACTTGGTAATTGGGACCAAAAGAGTGGAAGCAGCAAACAAGGAGGAGTTTGGGTAGGAGGCCAAGACCCAAGCAGAAGTGATGACAGCAAGGGAAAACAAGACAGAAAACCTCAAAAGCAGACATGAAACCTGGCTGTCTAATTACAGCACAGACATTCCTATCAGTGACTCTGAGTCATCAGGGAAAGGTCAGCTTGCATTTGGCCCACGTGTGTCTAAAAGCAGTGGGGGTGGACAGCTCCCTAGAGAGAGGCTTGTCCAAAGCTGTGTAAACAGAAATCGAGCTGTGGCTCTTGGAGAAGTTGGGTTGAGTCGTTGGAAAAATTGGACATCTGTAGCATCTCAGCGAGGAGGGGTAAGCGGCGGCTTTGAGTACACATACGTGGCCATATGTATTTGGACATGACTAAGCTTTCATTTCGTTTCACTAATATGCATTAGTGCACTCCTGCTGTGTGCCAGGCCCCAGGGAGACAGAGGTAGGAAAGCATTTTCATTCATCCTGTGACTTGACACGCTCACCCAAGCAGCGGCACTTGCCCAGCTCGGGGGAGGACGAAGCAGAAGATGGGGTTCCAGCCCTTGGGGATCTAGGGGTGGGCACAGGTGTGGGCTGGGCCTCCCTGTCCGCCTGACTGTTGGTTGTGGGGATGGAGCTATGCTGGAGAGCCAGGGGGAAGCCTGGGGAAAGAACTGGCTCCCTCCACAGCGCTGTGGGGGCAGATCAGGGGCGGGCACCCTTGTGGGTCAGGGCCCTGTGTGGGGGAGGGGAGCACTCAGTGTCAATCATTTGGAAGGGGCGGGCCCTGCTGCTCCTGGTCTGGCCTGCACAGATGGAGACGGGCAGGTGTGAGCTCTCAGCTTTCGGGGTTCAGGTCACATCCAGGCCCCTCTGGTCCCCCATGGATCTTTTCCTCATTCATCCCTAGGTGGCCCCCTCTCATTCACCCAGCTCAACCCCAGTGTCACCTCCTCCTGGAGGCCTTCCCTCACCACCCCTTTCCCCCAAAACATTATCCTACTTGATTTTCTTGGCACTGTCTCTGTCTGAACCTGTCTCACTTGTGAGTTTATCTTCAGGGTTGTTGGGCATCTTTAGTCCAGTTTATTGACTTGGTTAGCAAGGATGACACGCTCCTGTGTGACACAGGTGGTGGCGGTGGTGGTTGACTTTTGACCCCATGCAGAGACCCAGAAACTGAGTCTGAGAGAGGAGAACCTTGCTCCAGGACCTCCAAAGCCTACCATGACCACCCCCCAGTGAGTGTGCACAAAGCATGCCCCAGGCACATAAGCCAAGATGGTCAGATGGAGGGTTCTTGATGAGCAAAGACGATGTCACCCAGCTAGGAAGTGGCAGGGCTCCATCTCGTGTCCTCTGCAAAGCATCTGCTCCCTTCTGGCAGATTCTGTCTAGGCATTAATGCACACGCACGACTATTTACACCCCAGACAGGTTTTAAAAATGAGAATTGCTTTGGTGATGTCTTGAGTGTGTCTTAGATCAGTGTTTCTTATTCTACAAATGAACCACAGTTCAGTGAGCCGGCTTCTGTCGATGGATTTTGTGTGGTTACCAGGTATTTGCTTTTACGTGGAAGCCTGCAGGGAGCATTGTGTATGCTTGCCATCTTTGTATGCCCTTGTGTGATCAATGACTAGACTCATAATTGCTAGTGGAAGTGTAAGACACACCTCTGAGATACTGCGGGTTCGGTTCCAGACCACGGAAATAAAGTGAGTCATACGATTTTTTTGGTTTCCCAGTGCATGTTAAGTTATGTTTACACCATCCTGTGTGTGGTCAGTTTTTTTTTTTAATGTTTCTTTTTATTTATGTGGCTGCCCCAGGTTTTAGTTGCAGTACTCGGAATCTTCGATCTTTGTTGCGGCATGTGAAGTCTTTAGTTTCGGCATGCAAATTCTTAGTTGCAGCATGAGGGACCTGCTTCCCTAACCAGGCCCCCTGCACTGGGAGTGTGAACCAGGCAAGTTGTCTGGATTCTGTTAACTGTGCAGTAGTATATAAAAAAGAACATGCCCCAACTGAAAATATTTTATTGCCAAAAATGCTAGTCATCTCTGCTGAGACTTCAGTGAGTCATAGCAGCAACAACAAAGATCATTGATTGCAGATGACCATAACAGACATAATAACAATGAAGCTTGAAATAGTGCAAGAATTACCAAAGTACCACACAGAGACACAAAATGAGCAGATGCTGTAGGAACAGTGGTGTTGATAGGCTTGTTTGGAGCAGGGTTGCCACAAACTTTCACTTTGTAAGAAGTGTAACAAAGGAAAGCTTAATAACATGAGGTATGGGGACTTCTCTGGTGGTCCGGTGGCTAAGACTCCACATGCCCAATGCAGGGAGCCCCGGGTTCGATCCCCAGTTGGGGAACTAGATTCTGCATGCCACAAGTAAGTTTGCACACGCCACAACTGAAAAGATCCACATGCCACAACTAAGATCCAAGATCCCACATGCTGCACCTAAGATCCAGTGCAGTCAAATAAATAAGTGTTTTAAAAATAATAAAATGAGGTATGCCCTGTGCCCATTTAAAAAAATATTTTTTTTATTTTTAAATTGAAAGATAAACACAGAATTATGTTGGTTTCTGCCAAATATCAATATAAGTCAACCATAGATATACATGTGTCCCCCTCCCTCTTGAACCTCTGTGTCCATTTTTTATTTGCCTTTTTTGGTTAAGGTATAAAGTACACTCTGGCACAGCTATTAAGTGCTGTGGGGGGCGGGGTGCTTAGTGAGGTTTTCCCTGGATTAAGCACCAGTGTAAATCTACCCTGAGAAATTCACAGAGCCCAGCAGGGCTCTATCCTGCCCCTTCCTTGTCACCCTCCTCCTCGCCCCAAATAGCCGCTATTCTGATCTCTTTTATCACCATGGACTCCCTTTGCCTGTTTCTGAGGTTTCTTTAGATGAAATCATACAGGCTTCTGTGTCTGCATCTTTTGCTCATGGTCCTGGGTCTGTGAGGTTCATCCAAGTTGCTGCATGTATCAGTAGCTCCTTTTTTATTGCTGTAAGGCTCACTGACTGAACACACCACGACGTGTTGTGTTTTTCCATTCTCCTCTGGATGTGGGTGGTTTCTGGTTCTTTGGTTCAATGACTCATGAATATTCTTGCCCATGTCTTTGGGTGGATATGGCCGTTCCTTCTTTTGGGTAAATTCCCAGGAGAAGAATTGCCAGGTGAAGGGAGTGCCTGTGTTTACTGGTTTGTAAATTTTGTTAAACCGTTTTCCAGGATGGTTGCACTGAATGTTTGCTAGCGAAGTCTAAGGAGTTCCAGTTGCCCCACATTCTATAGCGACGTTTGGATTGTCAGTCCTTTAATTTTTACTATTCTAGTGAGAGTGCAGTGGCGCCTTACTGTGGTTTTAATTTGCAACTTAATTTGAATTTTCCTAATGGCTAGTGGTGATGGGCACTTGTCTGTGTGTTTATCAGCCATTGGTATATCTTCATGTGAAGTGCCTGTATGGTTTTTGCCATTTTAAAATTGAATTGCCTTTATTTTTCTTATAAATTTGTAGCAGTTCTTTATATTCTGGATTTGAGTCCTTCAGTAGATATATATATATATGTTTATGACATATATCATATATTTGATTCCAGTTTGAATTTTATGTTTTCACTCTTCTCCCCCTTTAAAATTTTGTATTTTGTTTTTTTCTTTTTTCCATTTTTATTTCTTTTTAAAGATTCTCTGTATTTCTGTATTTTTTCTTTTCTTCTCTAATTTTCTTTTTGTCTTTTTTCAGTTTTCAGTTTCTTAATGGTATCATTTGATTGATAAACAGAAGCTCCCCAGTTGTAATGAGGACCAGATTCTCAATTACTTTTCTAGTATTATTTTTTGTATCCAGTTTAAGAAATCTTTTTCTAACCCAAGGTTATGAACTATCCTCCAGGGTTTTCTTTTAGAAGCTTTCTTGTTTGTATCTTTCACATTTAGGTCTGTATTCCATTTCAAATGATTTTTAGTATGGCATGTGGTTGAGGTCAAGATTCATTTTTCATGTGAATGACCAGTTGTCCCAGCACTGCTGCTGGAGAAGTCCAACCTTTCCCCACTGAATCGTCAGAGTGCCTTTATTACCATCAGGGGACCATATGTATTTGGGTTACATGTCTACATGTTAATTGTTGATGGATGTTGCCAAAGTGCCCTCTAGAAAGGTTGTGTCAATTTATACTCCCACCACTAGCATATGAGCATGTCTGTTTGCACTCACCCTTCGCCACACTCAATATTATTAACCCTGAAATGTTTGCTGTTTGGATGGATTTAAAATGATCTCACTGTAATTTTTGTTTGTAAATTCCTGTTATTAGTGAGGTGAGCATCTCTTCCTATATGTTGGTCATTTTGATTTCTTCTGTGATTTCTTCTGTGATTCTTTCATCCTTTATTCCCCTAGTGGATCCTTTTTCTTATTGAGTTATAAGAGATTTTAGTATGTTTTAGATGGTTATGTTGTATCTGTTTTATGTGTTTCAAATGCTTTATCACAGGGGATGGCAAAGTTTGGCCTGTTTTTTTGAATAAAGTTTCATTGGAACACAGCCATGTCCACTTGTTTATCCGTTTTCTGTGACAGTTTTCATGTTACAGTGGCAGAGTCGCATTGTTAGGACAGAGACCATGTGGTTTGCAGAAAGAAAAAAAAAACTTACTCTTTGTCTCTTTATGGAAAAGGTTTGCCCACTTCTGCTTTATTGTAATTTGTTGTTTGTATAGTATTGTTCATCTCATAGAAATTTTGTATAATCAGTCTTGTCAACCTTTTTCTTTATAGGTTTTGGATTTTATGTGTCTTATATAAGAAGGCCTTACCTATCCTGAGTTAACAAAAATACCTCATATTTTCCTGTAAAATTTTTGTGGTTATGTTTGTTGCATTTCTGTTTTTTAATTCACCAGGATTTCATTTAAAATTTTATGATGTATTTTGCCTAACCTAATATGTCCAAAATATTATTTGCAGTGTGCAATCAATATAAACAATTGAGGAGAAAAAACCATTCTTTTTTCCTTTCAATGCCATGTCTTCCAGAAGTTTATTTTTGTATATGGTGTGAGGTAGGGATTTAACTTTATTGTTTTCCAAATAGCAAATGTTCCTAACACCATTTATTGCCTAGTCCTTCTGTTCTCCATGGATCTGAAAAGCCTTCTCTATAATATACCAAGTTCTCTCTTACACCTGGGTTTGTCCCCATGCTCTGTGGTGCTCCACAGATCTTTCTGTTCCCATGCAATACCACTCTGTGTATTTTGACCTCTTGTAGGGCTGTGCTCCACTCATCTTCATTCTTTTAAAAAGTTGTCTAGACTAGTCTCCCATTTATATAAAGCCTAGAACCATCTGGCCAGGTTTCATAGACAAAAGCATGTTGGAATTTTGGTTGGGAATTGCCGTGAGTCACAGATTAGCTCCGCAGGATGGGCGGGGCAGGGATCGCCATCTCTGTTTTACAGATGAAGAAATTGAGATCCAGAGAGGGGAAATGACCAGCCCAAGGTCACATAGATGGGACAGGATGGGACAGGAAGGTATCTTACCTTGATTTGTTGAACCAGTAAAATTCAGCATTTGTATATTGAGCACCTGCTGTGTGCTGACCAAACAGTGCGCAGGCACTAGGGGTGCTGAGACCCAGTCCTCGCCCTGAAAGAGCTCCAGGCTCCCAGGGAAGTTGGGTGCATTTCCCCCAAGAGCAATAATGGGAGTTTGTGCAGGGCCTCAGGCTCCCTGAGAAGGGGAGACCTGGAACTTCCCTCAGTGAGTAGGTGGGAGTTTTTGTGAGGACGCCAGAGGTGGAGAAAGGTGTCCCAGGCAGCGGGAATAGCATGTAGGAAGGCCTTGAAGCGATGACGGCTGGTCATTCCAGTCCTGCCGTGCTGCGTGGTGGTGACCCCTCCCCTTCTCCTCTTCTCTGCACCGTCACCTGTGGACAGACAAGGGGACGTGGCTCTGCCCCCCTACTACCAGCCGGAGGAGGACGACGAGATGCCCTTCATATGCTCCCTGTCCGGGGACAACGGCATCATGGGCTGCCACGAGATCCCTCCGCTCAAGGAGCAGGGCCGCGAGTGCTGCCTGTCCAAGGACGACGTCTACGACTTTGGGGCGGGCCGCCAGGACCTCAATGCCAGTGGGCTCTGCGTCAACTGGAACCGCTACTACAACGTGTGCCGCACGGGCAGTGCCAACCCCCACAAGGGCGCCATCAACTTTGACAACATCGGCTACGCCTGGATCGTCATTTTCCAGGTGAGGCCCCTGGGCCGGGCGCTGGCCCCTGTGCTGGGGGCTGGGGGTGGCAGGGGTGGAGGGAGCAGCTTCACCCCGCCCTCTGTGCTAGGCGTTTGCCGCCTGAGTCACTGAAGTCTGCCTGACCTGCCGGCACGACAGGCACTATCACGCCCACGTTCCAGACAGAGCAACTGAGGTTTGGAGAAAGGACTGCAGGCCCTCGAGTATATTGCCTGAAGTCTCTGTGCCTCAATTTTCTTATCTCTAAAATGGGGGTGGGACTTCCCTGGTGGTCCAGTGGTTAAGATTTTCACCTTCCCATGCAGGGGATGCAGGTTCAGTCCCTGGTCGGGGAGCTAAGATTTCACATGCCTTGCAGCCAAAAAACTAAAACATAAAATGAAAGTAATATTGTAACAGGTTTAATGAAGACTTTAAAAATAGTCCACATCAAACAAATTTTTTAAATTTAAAAAATGGGGGTTATAACAGCTCCCTCCCCCGCCCCCCAACCTTGAGTGGCTGAGAAGAATAAAGCAGACGATGTGAGCAGAGCCCAGGTGCAGTGAGTGCTCAGTCAGGGTTACCTTCCTGCTGAGGTTGGAAGGGAGGATGGGGCAGGTGCAGAGGGTGGTGGCTGAGAAGCCGCTGAGAGGGCTGCTCTGCGAGCTTTGCTCTGGGGAGCAGCAGAATCATAGAATTCAGAGCTGAAGGTGTGATGTGACCACAGCCCAGCATCTGTGTTTGGAGACCTTCCGGCCCCAAGATGGGGAATTGCTCTGTGCAATTGCCCAGAAGCCAACAAGACCAGGTGCTGGGGAGGACCCAGAGTTCATCTTGCCCAAGGCTGCTTTGCTTTTCCTCTCTGGGAAAGTGCGTGGGGGACAGAGTCACACCAAACTCAGCACAGCCACTGTCCCTGGCTCAGCTGAGCTGCGCCCCCAGCCCTGCCGGGCCGGTTTTGTTAATCCCACGCACTGAAGAAGCAGCTGAGGCTCAGAGAGTGGCCCGGGGGTGAGCTGGAGTTGCAACCCAGACCCCTTCCCCACCACCTGCTTCCTCCAGTCCTTCTGCTTTGCTGTGGGACTGAAAGGTAGGGAGCTCTGGAGTGAGAGGGACCAGGTTAGAAGTCCCTGATCCATTCCTTGCTGGCTGTGTGATATTGGATAAGTGTCCTAACCTCTCTGAACCTCAGTTCCTCACCTGCATGTTGGGGATGAGGATGCCTGCCCAGTGGAGCCCTTGGGAGAAGTATGAGAGAGAACACGTGTAGTGTCCCGGTGCACTGGGGGACCTCTGTCTGGGGCACTGCCTGCTGCCTGACTTTCCAGAGGCTCTGCCGTCTCAGCCTGTCTCTCCTGCTCTGTTCCGGCTGCAGGTGATTACTCTGGAAGGCTGGGTGGAGATCATGTACTACGTGATGGATGCTCACTCCTTCTACAACTTCATCTATTTTATCCTGCTCATCATAGTAAGTGTCAAGGGAGCTGGTGCTCTCCGGGCAAGCTCCAGGACCCACGGGCCAGGGGACCAGAGAGTCTTTGGGAGTCCCCAGGGTGCTCCTCTGAGCCCACAGAGCTGAGTGGGACAGAGCAGGAGGGGCAGTTTTGAAATGCACCCGAGCCACAGAGCTTGTTGAGCCACGGAGCTTGTTGGGGGTGGCTGCTGGAGGCAGCCATCACTTCTGATTGCCTTCATTTCTCATTTCTGGGCATTGAAGTCCCTCCAGCACTCGAGTTTCTCTGCCTTGCAATCTCTGGGAATACATTCTTTTATGACCATAGCAGAGATGCAGCCCCCAGATGAAGCTTCTCAAGAGCTCCAGCATCTCCCTTGTTTCCTGGGGCAGGAAGATGAGATGCTGTGAAACCGAAGCCTGGGGTGGCTTCCCAGGCAGAGTCTGGAGGGGAGACTGAGCTGGGTGTGGGCTCCTGGAGCTCCTTGGAATTCTTGGAGTGACCCACACCTCTCGGGCATCTCTGCCTTGTGGGGGAGACTTGGAGGTGAAGGGGGGCTCCCTCTACCCCCAGAGAGGGCCCCTCTGCTGGCCAACCCCTCTACCCCCACCGCAGTCTCCCCTAAGCTTAGAGCTCCTTCACTCTGTCATACCTGACAGCCTCAGCCACAGCACAATCCCCAAATGTCAAGGTGATTCACTCCCAGGAGAGTCACTGCTGGCTCCCTGCTGTAGGGGTGGGTTGTCTGGCTTCCTGGTGTTAGGAGGGGTTGCGCTTGGCGCTCTGGGGCAGCACCCCCTCCTGGGCTACTGGGACTTTGACCTGGGGGTTCAGGACAAACTGAGCTGAGATACACCCACTGCTGGCTTAGCTTCAGCCTTCCTGGGGGTGCTGGAACGCTTTTCATAAGGAAACACTGCAGATAGAAGGAGAAGATCCCAGGCTTTGTTCAGCATCCCTACCCATCCACTGGTTCGTTCATTCCCCAGCACTTTCAGGGAAGCCTGCGCTATGCCAGGCCCCGAGTGCTGGGTACCGAGCAGTGGATCTGGCCTGCCTTGCCTTCTGGGAGCTCACAGTCTCATTGGGGAAAACGGGCTGCAGCAGGCAGGGACCAGCCGCATCTTAGGAGCCACCACAAAAGGAAGCCCAAGAGGCTAAGGGAGTCCAAAGGAGATTTCTCGCCCAGCCTGGAGAAAGGATGGGGAAGTGAGAGGCTTCCTGGAGGAGATGATGCCATCATCGAACCTTAAAGGCTGGGTTACCTGCCCATGTCTCAGGTGTGGACCCTGAGCCTCAGAGAGGTGAGGCGCTTGGCTTGGACCACACAGCCAGTGAGGGATCTCAGCCCTAAATTAACCCAGGTGCCCCGTGCTCCTTCTGGCTGGATAAGTCCTAAGCTCGTCTGAGCCTTCTGTTTGACAGATGGGGAAAATGGAGGTCCAGAGGGAAATGGGGTGCTTTCTGGTCACCCAAGGACAGCAGCTGCAGGGGCAGGCTGGGCAGAGGCTGCCAAGTGTGAGTTCCCAGTGGGCGGGGTCCGTGTCCCTCACACGGCTCTGCGGAGCCCGTCTCCTGGAAATACAGAGAGCAAATCAGTGAGGTGTCTTCTTACTTTAGAAGCAGGGGATTTTCCCAGAGTCCTCTGGGCCAGGAAGCCCCCTACAACCCTCACAGCTCATCTCCCAAACCCCGGCTCCCAGCCATGCTGTTGGGGAGAGGAAGGAAGAGGGGATGAGCGACCGACCGTCGCCTGCAGGAACCTTCTGGTGGGTGACCTGGAGGAGGGTGCGACACCACCGCCTCTCTCACTGCAGCTGAGTCTGGTCCAAGGCTCAGCACGTGTCTGGGAGGAGCCTGCCTCTGGAAACTGGGGCAGAAAGGGCCCTTCTGCCTCTGGTGGCCCTTGGAGCGGGGCCTGGACTTGAGGCAGCAGAATTCCTAACCTTTTCCTATCTCCCCATCCAAACACACAAGCAAACCCTTTCTAAAGAAAACCTCTCTAGTGGGGTCTGCGGGCCCANCCTCTCACCCCACCATCCCTTCTGTCCCTGTCCTCTCCTCCCGTTGGTCACAGGTGGGCTCCTTCTTCATGATCAACCTGTGCCTCGTTGTCATAGCGACCCAGTTCTCGGAGACCAAGCAGCGGGAGCACCGGCTGATGCTGGAGCAGCGGCAGCGCTACCTGTCCTCCAGCACGGTGGCCAGCTACGCTGAGCCCGGCGACTGCTACGAGGAGATCTTCCAGTACATCTGCCACATCCTGCGCAAGGCCAAGCGCCGGGCCCTGGGCCTCTACCAGGCCCTGCGGAGCCGGCACCAGGCTCCTGGGACGCCCGGCTCCGCCACGCCGGGGCCCCGCGCCAAGGAGCCCAGGCACTACAGTAAGTAGCGGGGCCTCCAGGGTGCTCCACCCAGGCCTGGTGTGTCTCCAGCTGGGGACTCAAAAGCGGCAGTTTGAAAACGTGGCCTGTCTTTCCAGCACAAGCAGAGGTGTCCATCTAGTTCAGAACCTGGGCCTTCCCCTGGGAGCTCCAGGCCACACTCTCAGTTCCCTGTCTCCTTTCCTGACCACCTGCTGGTGCCTGGCCTGGCGTGGCCTAGCCCTGGACTTGGGGGTCCTAGCCCCATCCTGGAAATTCCCTTCTGATCCCATGTGTGCACAGGACTCAGGCTCCACCCTGGGTTCCATGCTCGAAAGAATGAACAATAATCTGTCCTTTGTTGTTCAGCGGCTCAGTTGTGTCTGACTCTTTGCAACCCCATGGACTTCAGCACACCAGGCTTTCCTGTCCTTCACCATCTCCCAAAGTTTGCTCAAACTCATGTCCACTGAGTCAGTGATGCCATCCAACCATCTCATCTTCTGTTGTCCCCTTCCCCTCCTGCCTTCAATCTTTCCCAGCACCTGGATCTTTTCCAGTGAGTCAGCTCTTTGCATCAGGTGGCCAAAGTACTGGCGCATCTGTCCTTAGTTTTCAGATCAGTCGCTCAGTTGTGTCCAACTCTTTGAGACCCCATGGACTGCCAGGCCTCCCTGTCCATCACCAACTCCTGGAGCTTACTCAAACTCATGTCCATCTAGTCGGTGATGCCATCCAACCATCTCATCCTCTGTCGTCCCCTTCTCCTCCCACCTTCAGTCTTTCCCAGCATCAGTCTTTTCAAATGAGTCAGTTCTTTGAATCAGGTGGCCAAACTATTGGAGTTTCAGCTTCAGCATCAGTCCTTCTGATGAATATTCAGGACTGATCTCCTTTAGGATGGACTGGTTGATCTCCTTGCAGTCCAAGGGACTCTCAAGGATCTTCTCCAACACCACAGTTCAAAAGCATCAATTCTTAGGCACTCAACTTTCTTTATAGTTTTCCTTAGTTTTATGAAACTATAAAATCCCTCTACACTGCAGGCCATCCCCCTCTCACTGCACACCTGAGCAAGCATGTCGGGCACTTCACACACTGTGATTCCTCCTGCCTTGGGGCCATTTCTCTTGCTCAACTGTAGACAGTTCCAGAGAGTTAGCCCCTTAGGCTTCAAAGGGTCTTCCATTCATTTTCTCATCTGTTCTAGAAAACAGTCTTCAGAAGGGAATAGAGTAATATTGGCTCCCGTGTTCAGAAGGGAATACGAAGGTCCAGAGGGATGAAGGGAGTCACCCAAGGTCACACAGTGTGCTAGAGACATCAGTTACAGGCTCTGCCGCCCCCCGCCCCCCACCTCCCGGGGGGGCTGTGAACCTCTCCAGTAAGAGGAGACAAAGGAGCCACAGGAGGTGAGCCCCACCCCAGGCCCAGCCCTGCCCCCCAGTTGGTGCCAGTGAGGAAGTCAGCCAGCCTCAGGACCGCACCCCAGAGCAGCGGCAGCTGTGACCCTGGACAGCCCGGCCCCTCTGCAGCCCTCCAGTCTCCATCCATGGAGTGAGGATGAGGGCCAGGTGCTGTGGAGTCAGCTACCCCCAAGCCCGGCTCCGCAGTGCTCATGTTCTGGGAATCTGAGATGCTCCGAGAGAAGCTGCAGAATTCATCCTCAGGGCGGCCGCCCACCCGTCTCCGGGCGCCAGCCGTCCAGGCATGGTCTTGGAGGAAGCTCCAGGTGGCTCGTGGGCTGGCCCAGCACGTGGCCGGGGGAGTAGGGGTCTGGGCAAGGCTGGCACCCCGTGTTCCTGGATGACGCGGGGAGGGTGTTTACTGCTTGGGGACTTCCTGCTGTCGCCCCCACTCTCTCCAGAGAAACTGCATGG